GCAAATAATAATACACACTTTCCTGATTTTTTTCTTCTTGTTTACTTGTATATCATTTAGCCTTCCCTTACAATAGGTTATAACACACTTTAATATATGGAGAAACTGAATGCTTAATATTTATTTAATACTAAAAGTTTAACAAAGTGAAGAAGTCAAAGATCTAACAAAAGCTTATATTTAAGGAATGCTAAATGTGCGTGTATGTTCTTTTTCATCTGTTTGGGGAGTTTTGATTTTGGTGGTGGGTCTGATGATGAAAAAGTTAGTGTATGGAAGAATCTAGCTGGTGAGTTACGATTATTTCAAGATTGAAAGTTACAATTACAGTCCAACATATGGTTGTAGTAGAAGTATGCTGTTGCTTACTAACATGCGTATTATGTACTATTAATTTAAATTATTAATATAATCATTTGTTTATTCATGAAAATTTCCTTAGATAAGATATGGAATCAATTTTAAATAAATGAATAGAATACAGTACATTTGCTAAGATGCAGATTGGAGGAGGTGTGTTCTAGGAGAATGAACTGAGTCTAGAAAGAATGGCATCTCCTATATTGCAAGAGAATCACAGAGGGGAGGGTTTTTTGCACAGAGAATAAAAGCACTGAAAAAAGATCAACTTTCCCAAGAAATAATTAGATTACAAAAACAATGAGGAAAGAAAAAAAAACACTCTATCCAGAAAAATACACTGAGAGTTGTGTTGATGGGGGCTTGGAAATTGAAATCTTGACCCTGGGATGAAATCTGTTATCTTCCATTTATACGTTTTGGGCTCTTGGGCAAGTTATAGAACTGATGGACAGGCCGGGTGCGGTGGCTCACGCCTGTAATCCTAGCTCTCTGGGAGGCCGAGGCGGGTGGATTGTTTAGCTCAGGAGTTTGAAACCAGCCTGAGCAAGAGCGAGACCCCGTCTCTACTAAAAATAGAAAGAAATTAATTGGGCAACTAAAAATATATAGAAAAAACTAGCCAGGCATGGTGGCGCATGCCTGTAGTTCCAGCTACTTGGGAGGCTGAGGCAGGAGGATCGCTTGAGCCCAGGAGTTTGAGGTTGCTGTGAGCTAAGATGACGCCTTGGCACTCTAGCCCGGGCAACACAGTGAGACTGTGTCTCAAAAAAAAAAAACAAAAAAAACTGATGGACATAAGTAGGGTTGTGAGAATTAAGTGAAATTTGTACCATACAAATGTTGCTTAAATAAATTACCATGCCTCAGCCAAGGGAGTAATGCATCAGAAGATATTGAGCGGAAAGAGAGGACTAGATTTTGATCCATTCATGCAATCTTTTGTTTAACTAATATTTATTAGAAAACTTCTCTGGATTAGGTATTGCATTTTGTTAGTTGGTAACCACACATTGGTGATCAAACTCCTTACTATCTAGCTTATTCTCTACTTTTTTTGTGTACTGCTGAAAGACATTGTTTAAACATACTAGCAATGAACTGGTTTCTCACTGCTGAACAGTAGGATGTCATTATGTAGGTGGTATGGACGTTGAACAAAGATTTATAATGAGCTTTAGGAGACAAACATCTGTTACCACCTAGCTGTCATCACCCAATTTCATATTCTTAAGTCAGGGATATTAATATTTGCCACCTCCCTAGCATTAGTCTTTGAGGTAACTAAGATTACCTTGCTGAATATTTGTGGGCATCATTAAGAGTGCAAGGCTATATAAATATGAAAGTCATTCCATTACTCACTCCCACATGTCTCGTGGAATTTATTGTTGCAATTATGATTCAAAGCAGTAGGATATAGGAATTTGAATCACCAGACAAATCTGAAATGCAACTTTATTCTGTGTGGTATATTTAATACAAAATTTTATTAAACTCTTTGAAAATTTGTCCCCTTAAGGGTTTAAGTTAAATAGCGTGGATTAGAAAACTGAAATTTTATAATAATGGCTGAAATTCTAGCTTTCTACTTTATTACACTAACATCTCAGAGGGGATTCCGGAACAGTACATGACTTTACCTAACATGAATTCCATACTCATCTGCACTAGGCAGGTGCACACTTTAGATTGGATCCTAAGAAACTCATGTCTCAGCACTTATTTCCAGGACTGTAGTTTGCTTTTCAAAATCTATTTAAATTTCAAACAAAATTTATTGTTAATGAAAAATTAAATAATGGTTTTTATCACTTGGAATTTTGAATATTATCTTTCAGAATGTAGAAATATATATTTTCGAGTGGCCGGTTGGTGCTTTTATCATGAAGTATGGAACTCCTCCAGCAGGGTCTAGGACAGTGTCACCTAGGCAAACACGTGAACCTTCTGCAGCAAAGCAGTAAATATTTATATAAAGTGCGATAAATAGAGACTTTAAATCACTTCACATCAGTTAATTTCTGGTTCTTCTGTCGAATGAACTTGAAGCCAAATATTCAGTTTTGAGAACTTTTTGGATTTTGGACTTGTGAATGCAAGATTTTAGGTCTGTGTTAATAAAATAGGACAAAGCAATAGTGTATAAACAGAAGCAGCATATTCTGGCATTTGAGAACCGTAGCTTGGTGACACCTGGGTTTAGATCCTTGGGGAAAGTATTTATTCTCTATGCCGCCTCAGTTTTTTCATCTTCAAAATAAGGACAATAATAGAATCTATCTTATAGGTTGTTATGAAGTGTAATATGTAAATATTAATACAATGATAAAATGCCTACAATAATGCCTGGCATATCATAAATGCTATTTAAATGCTGTTATATATTGTCATCTACTTCATTTAAATTTAGAATCAGAAAATTAAGAATACAGTGAGTTAAATTTAGTTCCCTGAAAATAAAAGTTGTGGCTATAGCCAGCAGAAGTTTAAACAAAGAAGAGTTTTAAATTATGGACCAAAATGGCATCCTACAAATGGGGTTATCATCCTTATTTAGGGAAAAGTTGATTAATGATCCCTCTGGAAATGGACCTCTTTTGGGACCAAGATAATGATACTGTAAAGAAAACAAAATTTCATGAATCAAGTGAGGTAGTGTTAGCGTGAGTTAGACAGCCTAAGAGCACCATCCTTGCAAAGCTCCAAAAGACAAAAATGCCTCCAGGTGGGTGTGAGGAACACACCTGTTGTCCCAGTTATTCAGGAAGGAGGCAGGAGGATAACTTGAGCCTAGGAATTTGAGTCCAGCCTGGGCAACATAGTGAGACCTTATCTCTAAAAACATGTTTTAAAAACGCCTCCAGGTGTAGCTTACCTTTTTCTGTATGCTGGCTTAGTTGTGTGAGATATAGGTAGGGATGAGCTCCTTGCTCTCTTAAACTACCTTCTACTCTTCTGGGGAAAATAAACCAGGGATTATGTCGGAGGAGGGAGGCAAGGGATTGTGGGTTCCATTGTCTTGAGCTTCAGACATGGCACCCATCTGTCTCTGGAACATGATGGTCTGGAAGCCTTGGCTCCCCCGTATCATTTCTGGACGATTATTATCCTCTTCCCCTTCCATAATCTCAACCCTTTTCTCTATTTTAGGATCCCAAGTTTCATATATTTATAGCAGTGTTGACATAATTTCAATTAATCTTCTAGAGATATTTATTGTATCTTAATCCAATTTTTTATTTTTTTTTTGAGACAGAGTCTTGTTCTGTCACCCAGATAGAGTGTGGTGGCATCATCATGGCTCACTGTAACCTCAAACTCCTGGGCTCAAGTGGTCCTCCTGACTCAGCCTCCCGAGTAGCTGGGACTATAGGCACAGGCCACAATGCCCAGCTAACTTTTCTATTTTTAGTAGAGACAGGGTCTTGCTCTTGCTCAGGCTGGTCTCCAACTCCTGAGCTCAAGCAATCCTCCTGCCTTGGCCGTCCATAGTGCTAGGATTACAGGCATGAGCCACGGTCCCCAGCCTTAATCCAATTTTTGAACTTTGTGAATCCATTTATACCACTTGTACAATTTTTATCTTTCTGTAATAAAATTTTAGAAATAAAATATATCACTGGAACAATTTTTTAAAAAAAATATCGTTGAAGGCTGTAATTTTGCAACACCTGGCACACAGTGCCTTGCAATGGATTTTTTGTAACACTATTCTTTATTATCCTAGATAACGAAGATTTTGAGAAACCTACCAATACTGAGAAACTTAACTCCATCAAATGATAATGCATTTCTATAAATTAAATGAACGCTTTGTATAAGGTAGTTCATTAGGAAAGTTGTTGGTAACCCCTAGATGTAGACCTTATCAAATAATATACTATCTTACAAAACCAAATTATATAACAATATGTCTGACACATTCCGTCCTAAATTCTTCAACTTTTCTTAATATGGTCCCAAGAGGAGCAGTTCATTGACTTCATTTGGTTAGAGGGTTACTAAAGGGGGAAAATACACTCCCCTCTCAATTTTAAGTAAGAACAGACAGAGGTCTTTGGGAGCCCTTATACGGTTCCAGGGTAAGAATTTATGAAAGCGCCTTGAAAAACAAAAAGAAGAGAAATATTTCATTTGCTGAAAGGAGAAAAACTTTTTTGGGGAAGACATTTTAGCAGCAATATTTCTTGCAAAAATTATTTTGTTTTATTTACTTGACATCTGAAATGCCATAAACACAGTCCTTAGGTGCAATTCCACTGACTTCACCTAGAACACTGGAGGTTTCTATGACACATTCCTAATTCCTGTATGAAATTTTCTGTGCTCTGACACTTGATACATCTAGCAATCACTTTACAACCTTCACTTTTTAAAACACTTTTGGATAACCTTTCCATTTAGGATCCAGGAATTTGTATAAAACCCCAGAGGTTATATTGCTTTTGAACTGAAGGCTGTTGGTTTGTGGAATTTCCTTTAACTGGAAACACGTATGAGTTTGTGGTTTTAGTGTTTTTCTAGTTTTATACTATCCCGCTTGTTTGTTTTCATTTTCAAAGCTGAAGAATTTACCATTAATTTCCATATTTTATAAAGGACTAACTTTTTCCTTCCTTTTTTTTTTTTTTTTCCAGTTGAAAGAGACAAGGATTTTTCTCACCAGCGAAGGCATTACAAAGAATTTCGGTTTGATCTTACTCAAATTCCTCATGGAGAGGCGGTGACAGCCGCTGAATTCCGGATATACAAGGACCGGAGCAACAGCCGGTTTGAAAATGAAACGATTAAGATTAGTATATATCAGATCATCAAGGAATACACAAATAGGTATCAGCTTTATATCTAACTTATTACCCTGGCAAACAAATGTCAAATTTTAGTGAAAGCCATTGTTAAGTCATGTGATCAAATTAACCATGTTTTCTTTGAGTGTAATGACAACCGGGGCCAGGTAGAGACACATTGAAAAGTAAGAGTAATCGAGCCCTGCATTCTGTAGCTTTTCCCTACTCCTGACACCGATCTGCGTACTAAATGGTCTCATGCTTCCCTGTATGTGGTTTCTAGGCCTATTGTCTCATATTGTAAATTTGTCCTTCACCCCAGAGAACTTCCATTTTGTTCTGCCCATGTGAAATTTATAATTAAGATGATTTAAATCACTTGGTGTTCTGTAAATTACAGAAGAGCTGCTTGACTTTTCACTGGCATAAGCGTAAATCATATGCCCCTGGTTATGTGTATTTTGATGTGTTTTGGCTACAAGATGCTTAATTCAGAATGATACAAAAATGGACAATCTGAAATGCTAAATGTATATAACCTTCAGTTGATAATTGCTGCAAAGGAATCATTGAATATAAGAGTTAAAAATAAACCTTAGTGGTGTTCTCTGACCTTTAACCCAAGGAAGAAATCCCTTGGGTAACATCTTTATAGGTGGTTAGTCACCTTTGTTGGACAGCATATCTGTATATCTATATATATCTATATCTGATTGAATATTGGTATATATATATCTGATCGAAATCCCACATTGAGGTGGTATCTCTCTCCTAGTAGCTTACATTCATCAGATCTAGATCCTCCTTTTGGTGAAATACTAAGTCCTTCTTTATGAGACAAATATTTAAAGATAGTTATCCTGTTTCCTCTTAAGGCCCCCTTCTCTCCTTGCTGACTATGTCTAGTTCCTGATGTTTAGATTTTTCTTGGTCTTCCCAGTGTGCCGGAGTTTCCCAATGGGTGTTCCATGGAACACTAGCCCCTCACAATACTCAATGAAGAAAAAAATAAAAAGCTTCTGAGGTCAAATATGTCTGAAAACCCTGCCTGTTAAACCATCTAGGAGATTCATATTGCATATCAGAATATTAAAATCTTAGAAAGGCTTTATGGTTAAAAACAACCTGTTAATTTCATTTTGGCTAGTCTTCCTCAACATTATTTGACCATGAACTCTTTGGGTGTGCAGTGCTTGTTAATATCCTGTGGAACACTTGTTCAACAGAACACATATTCTGGTCTGCATGCACTGTTATTTTTAAGAGCAGTAATTTAAGGCACAAAGACCCATGTTTATTTCTCAACTTTAACGCTTACTAGCTATTTGTCTGTGGTTGAGTTTTATTTTTAAAAAAATCTCAATCCAATGGTCCCATTTATAGAATGAGAATACTAATATTATTTTCTCATAGACAGGGCCAGGCATATTTAGTGAATAGTATAATATGTTATCTTTATATTAAATAATGATACTATTTTTTAAAATCAAGTGACAAGAATTGAAAATAATACTCAAAATATCGTCATAACTAATAATTGTTTTATTTGTAATTCTTTTTTTCTGTGTCTGTTTCTACATTTGGACTATGAACTCCTCAAGGAAGGGATAGTGTCTTAAGTCATTTCTTTTTATTTCTTTTTATCCTAAGTGCTACTAATTTCTCAGTATGAATATTTTGAAATCATTTTTACTCATAACTGGAATTCTACTTCCATCAACATATCCTAAAATATTTGAATTATGTTTATTTTGGTCAATCACATATATTTTTATGTATGTTGAGTTTTTAGTTGGTTATTTTACATCTCAAGTATTTTTTACAGGAATCATTGGTACATCAGGCTTCTGGAATATATTTATTTATTTATTTAATCTAAATATAGAATTTTATACTGATCACAATTAAAGGTCCTATCTTTTATTTATATCACTTGTTTTATCTGCTCAGGATATTTTTGAATGTTATCTAAATGAAGCTTCCTTTGAGCTTTCTTTCACCTTTCTATTTTCTAAGAATGTGAACTGTATAATTTAAGATATGATAAAAATGATGGAAATAAAGAACTAATAGAAGGGTCTATTGATAATAATTTATAGATTTATTTCTGAATGAATCCGTGCTGATTTTTCTTTAATAATCCATTTTGGGATATTTATAGATATTTTTGCTTAGTTCACCAGACTTCATAGTTTTGGGAAAATTCAATTCTTTTAAAATGGGACATTTGTCTATATTGAACTTCTGGCATTTTTCTAATTATTCCTGATTTTAAAAATATTAGTCTCAATGTTTCTGCAACAATAACTGCATGTTCTTTCAGTATTCTTAGGTATAATTTGGCTAAGTCTTTACTTATTTTAACATATGTTTAAATTTGCTCTCAGATTCAGAATTTCATTGGTATTTTTTTCTAAACCCTTTAAATTGATTTATAAAATCTAAAGTACATGTATAACTTTGCTTGGCATTCTCTTGCATTGCCATGCTAAACTCTGGGATGGCGTAGATTGTTTAGGTTTTTATCTAATTTACCAAATAATATTTTTTAAAAATTCATTCATTAAATTCAATATTAATTCAATTCTGCCAAGTTCATATTTTTCAACATCTACTATTAAGTATTGTTGCTGACTTGTGACCTTTGTCTTTTAGGGTTATGATATTGTCCTCTGCAATAGTTGTTTTTGCCAATGTAGTTGAGATTTTTTACAAATTTTTTTTCAATTCCTAAAACATTCACACTCACACATCCATACTTTATATTTCTATTTTATGTACTATTGACTAAGTAAAAAAGTGTTTGGCACAATACTTCCTTGTTTTTAAAATGGGCATTCACCCATTGCCAGGAGTTGTTCACTGTTCTGCATTGTAAGAAAGTACGATCTCATGCCCTGTCATTGCCTACAGATGCAGGATTCACTTTTTGCACTTCCCTTTCTCTTCCAAATGAAAATGTTTAAAGGAAAGAATATATAGAAATAGCAGTATGTTTTATAGAATATTTCAGATCTCTATAGTGGATTCCAAGTCACCATAGAAAATAATAATGTAATGCAATAAGAGTATGGACTTTGGAATTCACACATGAGGAAATTGCTATACCTCTTGAAGTCTCAGTTTACAAAGCTGAAAAGAATAAAAACAAAAAAATAAGTATTTAAGAACAAAAACAATAATTTCAAATGATTTGAGAAGGACCAATGTTTATCCCAATGCAAAAACCAGAGTTGATACTTAATAAATACATTGGCCAATACATATTCATATAACTTAATGGGAGCATCTATTTTAGTTTACAAGATTCTACACATAAAAGAACCGAAAGTCAGTTGCTATTATAACAGTAGCTACTGTTTGCTGAATCCTGCATTTATGTAAAAATAAATAAGTAAAATAATGCTGTCTTTATTTAATAAAAAATTGCTTTTATTACCTAATCTTTAGTATATGCAAAAATTGATAGATTTCAAAGTCTAATAAGGAAATGTATGCCACCCAATTTGGCAGCAACACTGTTGACACTGTCTGTGAACTTAATAGCTGAAAACACAAGTTTTAGATAAATAGTTGAACTCTTCTTTAAAATACACTTGAAGAGGTATGGAAATTGGGTAGGTTAGGATGAGAGACTTATTTATGAATTTATCTCTAGAAACATCAGAGCTATAGATAAATGTGGACAAAGATTTATATAAAAATGCTTATCTTCAAAAATTGAAGACATTTTTAAGTAAAACAGAAAAAACGTTAAGCTTTGTTTCCTGGAAAGAATATCATATAGCAAATAAAAATTTTGCTTTTGAAAAATATTTAATAACCCTTAAAAATGCTGAAACTGTAATGTTAATTGACCTAAAGCAAGAAACATAATTATATACATTATTAAACTAATTTTAAATAAATTCATGTACAAAACAGATTGGAAGGAATCATTGAAATGTTCCTTGCAGGTTTGTGGCTGATTTTACATTTTAATTATTCATCCCTTCCTGTACTCTCTAATTTTTTTAAATGAACATTATTTATGTGAACAGAAATGTACATAATTTTAGGAGACAGAGAGAGAGAAGATAATGAAATCAATTTATGCTACACGCATCTTTACAAAATAGCATTTTCAACTTCTCCCAGGTACAGAGGGGCAAAAGTCAAAACAAAACATTAGGATTTAAAAATAAGTTGCACTTATTTTTTCTTAAGCTATGGAAGATGTTGTTTTCTCACAGAAAATAAAGATAAATAGTTTTTTTCTTCTCTGTGTTCTTTGGAAAAAAAAATACTGCTAATTTGGAACCTCAACTTTAATTCTCTGAAAGAGAGGAGGACTAGATTAAAAATACTTCATTTACATATCATGTGATCACTGTTAAAATGGAAAGAATTTTAATTTGAAAAAGTACTTTTAAAATCCAGTTAATTTTTCTTAAGTATTGCTTGTTTGTGGTTTCAGATATTTCTTAAAGAACTAAAATGAAGATAGGAAAAGAAACTAGTACCACTGTTTTTAAAGCAAGGTCAGGTCTCAAAACTTCTATTGTAAACTTGTGCATTTTATCTACTTGGTAGTTTGAATTAAACTCAGAATCAATTGAAAAGTCAGTACTCTTGTACTCTAGATTGTACTCTTTAATGCAGTGCATTTGATAATGCACATGTTTTCACATATATGAAGTTCACTTTCTCTAAGGTATTGCCTAGGAGTGTCTTGGTGGACATCCTTGCAGTAATTTAGACTGACGTTTGATGGGCGTGTTTTATATTCAAGACATGGTCTGATCTATTAACCATCTAGTCTATAAATTCTTTGGCAGTGTTATGTAATCAAATTTAAAATATGGCAGATCCATTATGTCACCTCTTTTCTTATTTATTTATCTTAGTGAGACTTATAGCTCTTAAAATTATATATTTTGTTCCTACCATCTCTCCCAACTCCCTCATTTATCCCTACTCATATTTAAATGTGTGCAAGTTAAAGCAGTGTTCTGATATTTATCCAAATCTTTATTTTTCTTGGTAAAAAGTTAACACACTTTG